TCACACTAATTTTTTTTTCACCCCTATAACTTATTAAAATAAACATTATAGAAGTTTTCAGGGACTTTCGGCCCTCGGTAATAATGTATTGTTTCATTCTGCGTTTAAATTTTTCAAAAATATTTATTAGTTTTCTCAGGATTCGCAAAAAATTAATGCATTTAAAAAATATTGGAACGAAATTTTGTGCCTACGCTCTTAACGATAAAACTACCACGACCCACCTCTACTACTCGTTACTCGGTCGGCCAAACCAGACCAGACCAGACCGACGTTGCCAAATAATTATTGTGTATGAATATTTTTTAATGTGGCGTTATTGTATGCAGTTTATTATTTCATATTGAGAATAAGGCACAATGTGACTTTAAAATAAGCTTATTTTGATGTTTAGATTTTTAATTCGGAAATCGTACTTAAAATACGAAACATTAATAAATTTTATTTATATAAAACGATTTCCGAAGTGGAAATCAAAATGTTATATTACACTTATTGTAAAGTAAACTTGTGGCATATTCCCAATAAAAAAACAGTAAGCTGCCATTTAAATCAATTTCGCCCAAATTGGATTATCTTAGAACATTGTTCAAATGCAAAAAAAAACAACAGGTCAAATAAATCCAATAAGTTTGGCAACGTTGAACTTCCCCTTTCCAGGCATGCATGTTTGGCGATATAAAGGGCGGACCTAATATACCTCTCTCTTTCTAAACATATATATATATATATATATATATATATATATATATATATATATATTAATAGCGAATGTCGAAAACAAGAGGAAACGAATTATCAGAGAAGCCATTGAAATAGAAAAACAAGAAAATAATTTAAATTCTCGAGACGATGCCCAAAGATTGCCAAAAACATGGAAACCAATTATCCCGAAGAATAACGCAAGAACGGAATCGACCAAGACCCCGCCCACTGACCTGCGCACTGGACCAATTACAAGAGCGCGCGCAACACACAGTAACTACAAAAGCCAGCTGCCTAACACCCGTAGCGTCACTTACACTCGAACATCGACAAGAAGCAGACCATCCAGAGAGACTTGAAAATGGCAAGTGAGATCTTGTCGAAACGTCGTCAAAATGGTTTTTATCAAAACCAACAACATTTAACGCGGAGTCAAACCCGGAATACCATTGATATAACATACAGCTCCCGCGGAAATATCAAAACTAACATATATATATATATATATATATATATATATATATATATATATATATATATATATATATATATATATATATATATATATATATATATATGTATATATATATATATTATATATATATATATATATATATATATGTATATATATATGTATATATGTATATATATATGTATATATATGTATATATATATATATATATATATATATATATATATATATATATATATATATATATACAGTATAGGAAAAAGTGCGACGGGCGAAATCACACTAGTCAAACATAACTAAATAAATTTAATTTATTACTTTTCTTCTTTTTCGCGTGCCATATCAGAATTATCCGACGTTGGCGATCACCATTGCGAAGGCTTCTCGATCTTCTGCAATATGGAATAATTGTCCTGCATTTGGTATCTGAGTCCATTCACGAATGTTTTTTAACCAAGAAACTTGTTTTCTTCCTACACCTCTACGGCCCTCTATTTTGCCTTTAAGGATCAGTTGTAAAATTTTATATCGACTTCCCCTTACTATATGTCCCAGATAAGACATTTTTCGATGTTTAACAGTCTTTAGCAGTTCTCTGTCTTTGTTGACGCTCCTTAGTACTTCTTCATTAGTTTTTCTTGCTGTCCAAGGTATCTTCAGCATTCGTCTATGAACCCACATTTCCAATGCTTCAATTTTGTTCATGATCGATACTTTTAGCGTCCACACTTCTGCACTATACAAAAGTACAGACCAAACATAGCACTTAACCATTCTTTGCCTTAGTTCTAAACTGAGATGGTTATTGCAAAGAAATGACTTCATTTTCATAAAAGTAGTTTTAGTCATTGCTATTCTACGTTTTATTTCTATGTCTGGATCTAGTTGGTCCGTTATCACAGTTCCCAAATATGTCATTTTGTGAACTTTCTCAACTTGGACTCCGTTCAATTGAAGCTTTGCATCGGGATGTGGGTCACGACTAAACACTAAAAATTTGGTTTTGTTTGAGTTTATTTTAATGCCCATTTCCTCTCCTATCTCGTGAATACGATCAAGCAGAATTTGAAGACCTTCAATATTATCTGATAGAATTACTGTATCGTCTGCATATCTAATCACATTAAGTAGTTCCCCGTTGATTTTTATTCCATATGGTTGTCTCTCAAGTGCCTTTTTAAATAACTGGTCCGAGTAAACATTGAACAATGTTGGAGACAAAATGCAACCTTGTCTGACTCCTCGTTGTATGGGGATTTCATCGGTGTAGTTATCTTCAATTTTAACGATAGCAGTTTGATTCCAGTACAAATTTTTAATGACACGAATATCCTTGTCATCTATTCCGATATTTTTCAGTATTTGCATTAATTTTACATGCTGTACTTTATCGAATGCCTTTTCGAAGTCCACGAAACATGCAAATTCATCTTTTCTTTGGTCACGGCATTTTTATAATAGGATGTTAAGCGCAAAAAGTGCCTCCCTGGTTCCCATAGTATTTCTAAAACCAAATTGGGTATCTTCAAGATCTTCTTTGCATTTGCGTCTAATTCTGTTGTGAAGTATTCTGAGTAAAATTTTAGGAGTGTAACTCATTAGGCTAATTAATCGATATTCTGAGAATTTTCTCGCCTTGTGTTTTTTAGGTATTGCGATAAAGATGGATTTGAGCCAATCTGCGGGAATCACTCCGGTGTTTATTGAATTAAAAAGTCTTACTACTACTTTTATGTTATCATTCTCTATTAGTTTCAGCAACTCAGTTGGTGTATCATCTAGACCACAGGCTTTTCTAATTTTAGCATTATTTATAGTATATTCTACTTCGCATGTCATAATTTCTGGGCCGTCAGTACAGTTTTGGTAGAATTAGGCAATATTATTCCTGTCATCTTCAAACAACTCTGATATATACAGCTGCCATTATTTTCTTATTACTTGCTTATTTACAATAATATTGTTATTAATGTCAACAAGTACAGATAAAACTCGTTTTTTAAATATATTACTCATTTCTTTTTTATTCTACGCTGCAGTTGTCTATATTCTGTTATATTAGATTTTATCAATCGACGTTGTTCCATTAATTTCAAGATGTCGTCTGTCATCCAGTTTTTTTTCTGTCATCCAGTTTTTTCTATAAACATTGTTTGTGGAGATTTCGTTAACTTGGTTTTTAAATTCACTCCATAGTTCTTCTGGATCTTCTAATTGTTCTCCAATGTTTTTTTTATTCCATTGTTAAATTCTTTTTTAATGTTATGTTTTATGTTTATATCGTCAAAGTTAAGTACATTGGTTTTTGGTTTTTGTCACTGAATTCATTTTAACCTTAGTTTAATATCTGATACGAGTGGTTGATGATCAGATCCAATATCTGCACCAGGATATGTAGTGACTTTTTTGACGGCATTTCGGAAACGCTCATTTAAAAGTATATAGTGTATTTAATTTCTTGAAGACTCAGGGTAATTGCCATCATCAAATGGGGCTTTCCACGTGTATAGTCGTCGCTTATGTAGTTTATACAAGGTTTTTGCAATGATCATATCGTTTCCATTACAGAATTTATACAATCTCTGTCCTCGATCGTTAGGTTGTCCTAAACCATAAGGACCTACAGTCTGACCTCGTCGACCTTCCCCAATTTTTGCATTGAAGTTGCCTATAATTTATAAAATTTCGTCTTTATTAAGTTTCTGTTAGATGTCTTGGATCTGATCATACAACTTCTTGACTTCATCGTCATATTTTCTATCTGCAGCCGGCGCATAGATTTGAAGTATGTTAGTTTTAAATGGTTGAATATTTATTTGGAGTAATATTATTCTATCCGAGACTGGTACGAAATTGGTCACATATTTACTCAGTTCTGATGTTACTAAAATATCTACACCATTTTTGAGATTCGGGTCTTCTGTACTGTTACTGGAATAATATAGTACACTTCCGTCCTTTTTACATGATCCTGACTCTGGCCATCTCATTTCCGCTTTCCATGATTAGTAACGGTTTGAAATTGCAGTGTCAACTCTATGGTGACTTTCCTGGGAATGCTCTATGAGCCGTTAATGCAGTGGTTCCTCTTTGCCTTCTGCATTCTTATGCCGTTGACCATTATTTGTTGATTCATCCGCCTCCGGGGCCGATTTCTCAACCCCAGGACAAAAGAATGCCCTACTACTCACCAACTCATCCGCCCTAAGCCGTTAATCAGTAAGTGGGAGATTGCTTATACCGGCAATCACTCGGACGTCAGAGCCTTATTTGTTATCTAGCAGGATGCACCGGATGACCACAATCAAGATTATCACGCGGGCAGGCGAGGTTGACATTTGGATAGGAGAGGCTATACATTGCGCATCACTATCCCTTGCATCCCTTTAATTTATTAACATACTTTTATGTGTTTACTGTGTTAGTTTCTACTTTATTTTCTCTATTATAGGTATATTTTTATGCATTCCTTTGATGGTCTGTCTTAAGGGAGAAATGATATTAAATTGTATTGGTTAGAACTTTATGAAATATCAAGAGAAATATAGATATAAAAAAAATAGTAAAAACGTACAAAATTTAAAACTTTCACTAGGAGGACTGCAATAAAACTAGTTATCACACACATTTCTTAGTTGTAAATTTAATTAAAAATAGGAAAAAAGAGTTACCACAATTTGTTTTTTAAAGATATGGTCAAACGTTGGTAAGTCTTAATATTTTTTAAAGATACTGAAACTCCAAACCAATTTTAAAATAAATTGGTTTAATTTGATTTGCTTAATTTTCTTTAACTGTTTCTCATTTTGTTGTGAAATTTTAGGTCTTCGTGGCAGTAGGCCCACTACTACTAACAGTATCTTCTGGAATGACTTTTGGATATTCTGCCATATTAATACCTCAACTACAAGTTGCTGAAAACAATACTATATCAATTGATACAGAACAAGCATCTTGGATAGGTAATTTTTTACTAAACGCTCTAAAAATATTTAATAAAGTTAGCTACTCATTGTGCCATACTTGGAAAACAAGTATCCATAAGTGAAATATAAACAAAATAAAAAAACAAAATTTAGAAATTATAACAACTCATTTGCCAAAAGGTCATAGGGGTGAGATAATATGCGCGCAAGAAACAGGCGAAGCAAAATAGGGATAGTAAATTCATAGTATGGGAGCTGAAACAAGTTGCTGGTCCTAAAATTTTAAAGTATTTCGTTTATGATTATTACATAGAAACATTCGAGAGTTATAAAAACAAGTTTTTAACATTACATTAAGTTATGTAACTAAAATTGTAGATGATCTGTAATAATGATTTCATTTTTTTAGCATCCATAGCGACCCTTCCCATGGCAGTAGGATCCGTTATAGGTGGATTCTGTTTAGAAAAATTGGGACGCAAAGCGACACATACTATATCCTGCTTACCAATATTCTTGGGATGGCTCCTAATCTATTTAGCTAATGGAATCAATATGGTCCTTTTGGGGAGATTCATAACGGGATTATTTACAGGGATATTGACAACAGCTACTGCGGTCTACATTGGAGAAACGTGCGAGCCTTCCTACAGAGGAGTTTTACTAGCTGGGATATCATTTTGTGTTGCATTGGGTAAACAAATTTACAGTTATGAATTAATAGACGTAGTGTGATTTGTCTCTGGTACTTATTCGTGAGATTCTGACAAATCAAGTCCTTATTTTATTTATAATGACGAAATAATCGTACGTTTATATACACTCCTTCTTTTATCTCTAAAATGTCCGTCAACGTCAAAGGAAGTTATTCAATCTAAATAGCTTTTCATTATATTTTTCTTCACGGAAGTTCTGTGTGACGCTAAAGTTATCCTTAATTATATCATCCAAAAATATACTTCTTATTCTTATTATTGTCGTTCCATCGTTTTCGTGGTCTTCTTACTGATCGTCTTCCTATTGGGGAACCTTCTCTTACCGTCTTTACTACTCCATTTGTTGTCATTCTGCTTATATGATCGTTCCATTCTACTCTTCTATTTCTTACCCAGTTCTTGATGTTCTCCACCTTGCATCTACGTCGTATATCTGTACTTCTAGCTCTGTCCCATAGTGTCTTACCATCAATTTTTGTAAGTGTTTTCATCTCTGCTCTTTCTAACACATTTTTTGTCCTCTCTGTATCAGGTCATGTTTCTGCCGCGTATGTCATTATTGGTCTGATGACTGTTTTGTAAATTCTGCCGTTCATTTCTTTTCCGATATTTTTATTTCTCCACATTGTTTCATTTGGGTAACCTGCGGCACTATTGCTCTATTAACTTAATCTTTCACTTCGATTTCGATCTTTCTGTAGCTAGATAATATGATGCCTAGATATTTAAACTCCATCACTTGTTCTATTATCTGAACTTCCAGCTCCAATTTGCATCTTAGTAAATTTGCTGTTGTAACCATGAATTTTGTCTTTTTCGGCGAAATTTAGTAACATGTTAAATTTTCTGTCGGTAATATTAAATTGGTGCAGCATAAATCATCTTCACTTTGAGAGAGTAATATTGCGTCGTGTGCATAGCAGATTATTTTAAGGTATTTTTCCCCCAGTTTTTATCCGTGCAGTGCAGGTATCCTTTTTTAGTTCCTACTTTTTTTATTATTTCATTCATAATTAGGCTGAACAATAGAGGACTCAGGGAATAGGGAAAATATACGTACTCGTATTTATATGGGTCGACATCCATCATATCAATAACATATCAAACTTCTATAATCTATCTATTAATGCATTATATGCATCTATTTGTTTTGTGTAGTTCTGGATCAGTGATGTTTTGAGTAAGAAATCTGGATCCTTGTATCGATTGTGAATTTTGTCGTTTGAAAGCTAGTTTTTTTGTTTTGCTTATATCGTTTATATTTTAAGTGCATTCTTAATGAATTCGAGTAATGAGTATACAGTTGCCAGTTACTTCTGCAACAATTGGACGTGTAGTGTGTGCGTGTGTACCTGGGTGGGTGCGTGCATGTGCCTGTGCGTGTACGTCAATGTGTGCGTGTGCATTCGGGAAACGTGTGTATGTGTGCATGTGTGTGTATGTGTGTGTGTCTATGTGGTCCTGATAATATTTATCCCATTGGCTATATTTCCTGTTTTAATTAAACTCAAAAGTTTAAGATTTATTAATTTTTTATACACAGGGTCACTTTATTCACTCAGGGCTCTTTTAGAGTTATTGATACATAGCACAGACTCAAAGGGTAAATTGTAGAAGTATGATAAGTAAAAGCATAGGATTTATTTTGATATTCGGCTTCAAATAGGAGAAACCGACAGAACATTTTATATCGTCAATAAGCTCTCAAGTAAAAGTTATATTATCGATTGAGTAAATAGTTACTTACCAACAATAATAATTGCAATATATTGATGTGAAAATTACTAAGTAGTTTTCGTTGGAAAATTAAGTGAGTTGCATAAAAATAAACAAATAAATATACAATTTAAAAAGTTTGGTTCTGGTAATTTCTAAATGTCGCTTAGGTGATAGAAATTTCATTAAGAGCAGTTAGAAACGTGTTAAAATTGTTTTAATACGATAAACTCTTTATTGGGATGATTACGTTCTTCATATTTCAACCGTATATCATAATCCATCTACCAAGAAATCGTGAACGACTGTTGTATATTGTAAAAACATAAGGAATAGATTTGACCAGGAAGTATATAAAAAAATATTTTATTGTTATTGAGGAAATAATTATTTACTCTCACTTCATGGACACAATTTCCACAGAACGTATAGTTACTTCAACTTTAACTAGAGCAAATTTTATTGCATCTAAGTATATAAATTTACTACAGAATCATAATTTTAATTCTATATTCAAAAAATTTACAGGAGCAATTTAATAACACTTGGCTATTTATTCAAAATTCATATTACAAATGAGGACTTTACTACTTTGAAACTACAAAGTTAAAATGGTATAACTGTATCATATGGCCAATGGCCCCCAAATATACAAACACCGCAGAGTACTACCATTTAAAGGGGTGCATTTTCAAGAAAAATGCATCCTGCATTTGTCTAACAACCAACAAAGTCATCATAGCTAGAATGATCGCCAACGTTCGGAAAGGACAGGCACCCTAAGAAGAAGATTTTTAAGAAAGGGGTAATGTTTTTGGGTGGATTTTAATTACGGATATAAATTTAAGTAGAATAAAATTATATTTTCTATCGAATTGTCAACATCTATCATTCTATCGAATTTTTGACAACTTTTATAGTCAAAAATATTTTTTTTTCACAAAAGTGTATTCAAATTCGGAGCAAAAAAGAACAGAGACGTACTTGATTTTTCTTTTTTATCCCATAATTTTTTTTTCGCAAGAGGATAGGTATAGGCATTGCTTAACAAAAAAAAACGTTTGTACTTCCTCTTTAATGTGACGTTTAGCAGAAAGCTTTTAGGATTTACAGTATTCCAGATATGATTTTTCAAAGTTTGCCACTGCTCATGTGGTGCTGTCTAAGCCAGTTTTGTGTATTTTTTAAATAATGATATGATTCTAGGTCTGACCAAAACATGATATCGTTATTAGCATGACGTTTGTGCACAAATAGACACAAGAGATTGGGATACACCCATACTAGAAATTGGGCACTATACAAGGATTTTATCTGCAAATTTCACTTTATGTTTTTATCTAACATTTGTAGCTTGTATAAATTCCTTATAACTATCAAATATTTAAAGTATAAAATTTTTTTCGTGCGTCCCTGGGCCATGTATAAAATTTCGTGTATCTGTTTATATTTCACATTCCACTAGAAAGAATTCATAGAATTTGAAGTAAAAATACAATTATATTTGGTTTATAATTACGTCTTAGCTCTGCAGTTTTAAAGGCAAGGAGTAATCAAGGTCAAATTCTCCCTTGAAAAGAGTTCTGATTGGCCCGCTGCGAGAACTGGTACTAGGGATAAGACGCGAGAGAGAAAGTCTGTAGAACAGCGTCAGGTCGAAGTGAATTAAGGTTGGTTTTTGGAGATTCCAGATAGAGCAGACGCGGCGTAGTTAGTCGGAAGGAACCAGCAAATTTGTTTTGAAAAGTCAATTATACTCAATGTAATGTATCAGTTCAGATAAGAGTAGTCACTGTTTTATTTTCATGCCGTATCTCCTCTAAGAGATTTGTAAAACGGCGTTTCCAACAACTCAGAAGGATACCCACATGGTTACATTATGTTTGGGTTTTTAGGAATCCGAGTTTTCAAAGTTTGCGTCCAGTGCCCAACTTCCAGCCTTATTTTGTTTGTCTTAAGTCATTTCAGGATAATTGGTAGTGTGTTTTTGGCAGTTTTTTACGTTGCAGTGAATTCGAGTGCAGTTACAACCATAGAATTGTTAAAGAAAAAAAAATAACATTTAGTGAAATTTAGGTAACTTTTTTGTTGAAGTTTTAAAGTAAAAATAGAGATTTTTCATCAATAATTGCTTTCATGACAAGTTGAGATATTGCAATAAGTAAAATTATAAATGTTAGGGTGTGATTAAGCTGTCATATTAATTATTACCAAAGTTTAGAATTTAGTATTGACATATGACAGTTATTTTGTATGATATTATTACTATTTATGTTTGTAACTGTTTTTAGTAAAGACAACAATAAACATGTAATTTTTTTCCCTAAAAAACAGTATTATATTTCTTGTAAAAAGTTTTTAACCCCTTTTTATATTTTTTTAGGAAGAAAGAGCCTTTCTTTCATCCAGTAGGAAGATTCTTCTAAGCGGCGTCCTAATTTGAAATAGCTTAAGAACCTTCTTGTATTGTGTTTGTCCAGGAGATTGATATAAGTACACCTTGTTGTTTCATTTTTGTAGTTACCCCAATCCAATCCCGTTGTTTCATTTACTTATCCATAATCCAGCTTTCCAAATAAACCCTGAGTAGCCGTTCGCAGACGTTTATACCTCAACTCCTTATGTAGTAGGCAAAATAATCGTTACACATTGTTAGGGAATTCTTCTACGTTGTCCATATAAAATCAATTATTTTAATTTGTTTTAGAATTCTTCTTCTTCTTAGTCGTTAACCTGATGCAGGTATCGTGATATCATGAAGCTGTTAGGTAATTTTTCCAATGTTCCTCCACGTTTTTCTATCTTCTGCCAATCTAGCACATTCTGACAATGGAGCGCCAATGGTAGCAACAATATGGTCCGTGTATCGTGTAGGAGATCTACCTCTACTTCTTTTGCCTTCTACTTTTCCCTGGATGGTAAGTTTTTCAAGACCATTTCTTCGAAACACATGTCCAAAATAGCTTATTATCTGTTCTGTTATTTGTGTTCTTAGTCTTTTCTTTATGTTTAGCTGGACCAGTATGGATTCATTTGTTCTTCGGGCCACCCATGGTATTCTCAGCATTCGTCTCCAGCAGTACATCTCAAATACATCTATGTTCTTTTTGTCTTTCTCAGTAAGGGTCCAGCATTCCGATGCATAAGTAAAAACTGGAAAAACTAGACTTCTTACTAGTCTCATTTTTGTATCGGTAGTAATTTCATGGCTTTTCCAAATTTTTGTTATTTTGCCATAGCGCTTTTTGCGATTGCTGACCGC